GTAGGGGAAGAACAAAAAGGGAAAAGAAAAAAATGTGAGAGAATGAAAAGATGAAAATAAAGTGTTTGTAGATGGGGAGGGGAGGAGGGGGTGAAGGGAGGGCAGAGGTAAGGGGAAAAAATGAGAATCAAGACTTGCCATGTAGAGGTACATGATCCCAACAATGAATGTAACTGTACTGTATCCCTAAAATGTACCAATAAACTCAATAAAATTAAAAAAAAAAGAATGTATAGTTTGATTTTGTGTGGTGGAACACTCTGTAGATATCTACTAAGTCCATTTGATCTAAGATTTACCTCAGTTCTGTTATATTGTTGTGATTTTTTTGCCTAGATGATCTGTCTATTTGTGACAATGGAACATTGAGGTTCCTCACTACAATGGTATTAGTGTTTATTTGGTTTTTCATGTTCATTAATATTTGTTTTGTATAGTTGGGGCATTAGTATTCGGTAAATATATATGTATGACTGTAATCTCTTCCTCCTGTTTTGTTTCCTTTGCAAGGATGTAGTGACCTTCTTTACCTCTCTGTACTAGTTTTGATATGAAATCTACATTGTCTGCAAACAAAGTAGCTACCCCCTCTTTTTATCAGCATCTGTAGCAAAGAGAACTATTTTCCATCCTTTTACTTTCAGGCTATGAATTTATTTCTGAATTAAGTGGGTTTCTTGCATACAGCATATTTGTGTATTTTGCTTCTTAAGCCATTCTGCCAGTCGATTTCTTTTGATTGGTGAATTTAGGGCATCAACATTGATGGTTGTAATGTTACAGAAGGAATTGGCAAGTGACACACAGAGAGGCAGCAGAATGGAAATAAAATAAAAAAGTTTACTCTATCAAAGGGGATCGATGACACCTAGTGGCAGTGCCCTGATTGACTCCCCCATTGGGTTACAACTCCTTTTATAGGATTTTACAGCCTATCTCATTTAGTTGTTTACATTGCATTTTCACAAGTCACCTTGCTGCTACCCAAAACATGGTGGTGAGGCAGTTGAATTTCAACCCAGATGTAGTTCTTTGTTTGGGAAAGTTACCTTTAAGATTTATTCAGCTGCCTACTGTAGCCAAGGGGAAGGGAGTGTGTTTGGTCAACAAAGCTAACAATGGTTCTTTTCACTTACAGAATTTTTGGAGGAGACTAAGTGCCTCCAGTACCAGTTAATTCTGAACTAAGCAGAGTGAGGAGCAGAAGTTATCTTATATTGTGACATTTCCTAAGTTTTCACTATTAAAGTTTTCCCTATCAATAACTGATATGTGTCCACTCATCATGGTCTTGTTATTTTCCTATTGTTGGCACTTTTATTTTTTAGTTTTGCCCCTCTCCCTTTAATTTAATTTCTTGCCTTGGCTGCTGAATTTGCTTGGTTGGGCCTTCTGGAGTTGTGACCTTCATTTTCTTTTCCAGGGTATTGTTTATTGTTGTTTGGAGTGTTTATTTGATATTCATAAATTTCTCAGGTGTTCTTTAGTGGAAGTATCTTATTACCCCATCAATTTTAAGATAGTTTTGCAGGGTATATCAGACTAGTTTGGAGGTTTTTTCTTTTAGTTTGAAATACCTCACTCCAGGCTCTCCTTGACTTCAGGGTTTGTGTTTAAAAGTCTGCTGTGATTCTAATAAGCCTTCCTTTGCATGTGATTTTTTTTAATTTAATGGCTTGTAGTATTTTGTTCTTCTATTAGGTTTCTGTGATCTTGATTATTATATGTCTAGGTGTAGTTTTTATTATGGTTATTTGGAGTCCTAAATGCCTCACTTATCTGTGTGTCAAATTCTTTACTGTGGTTTTGGAAGTTTTCTGTCATTAAATCTGTGAAACTTTTTTCATACATTTGTACTTTCTCCTGCTTTTTCATGGATTCCTATCAGTCTTATATTATTTTCTTTGCATCACTCAGGAGTTGTTGGGCTGATTTCTCATGATCCCTTACTATTTTTAAGAGATCTCTCTTTTCATGGTCACTGATTGCAATCCTAGCTTCCCTATCTGATATTCTATTTTCACATTCACTCATTCTGCTGCAAATATTTTCAATAGAATCTTTAATCTCCTATATATCTCTTCTGAAGCTGCTTTACAGATTCCATTTTGTTCCTATGTTGTATTTTCATGGTTTCCATTTCCTTCATATGCTGGATATTTGAGGTTTCCATCGTGGTCTTGAGCTCAGATTTTTTTTTAATCTGTTTCTGTTCTAGAGTATCTAAGCATGTCTTTTATTATTCTCACCATCTGTGTGGTTATCTGGGAAATTATTTCTGTTTTGAATTTTTCTAGAGGCTCATTTATCTGTTTTGTCACTTCCTGTACCATCAGTTCAGAGGGTCCAGATGGTTGACTGTCAGACTTTTCCACCTGCTTTCTAGTAAAATTTAGCTTTTGTGAGCTGGAAATTTGTGTTTGTGCCTTGATTAAATGTCTTCTCATTGCTATATTTATTGTTGGTACTTAAATGTTTCCTTGTCCTTGTCACATTTTAATCAGACAAATCCCAGCACTTGGGAGGCTGGGGAAGGAGGATCACTGTGAGTTCAAGACCAGCCTGGGCTACAGAGTGAGTTCCAGATCAGTCTCAACTACATAGTGAGACCCCACCTCTAATAATAATAGTTATTATTATTTTAATCAGACAGAATGAATCATATGCGTGATAGAAGAATGACATAATGAACATGATTTTCATAATTCTCATAGAGAATTCATATTATTAAACTGTACCACTGGGAAGCATTTTCCTATGTTTCTATAGGAAGCAGAAAAGAGCAGGAATCTGGTAAGGCTCTTCTGTAATATTGCTGAGATCCTTAATGTATACCATTCCTTTTGCCACCTCCATCTCTTCTTTGCTGCTGGCTTTTCAAGTAAATTAACTTTAGACTTGTTAAACAAGTTAACTTTTTCCTTTAGATCTCTTTTATAAAGGTCCCTCAATGATACTGTGAGGTACAAGTTCACTGATTTGGATTGGGGCATAGATCAATGGAGTGGTGATAGACTAAAGAATTAGTCTAAGGAGAGAAGAAAAAGAAATAGCAAACATAAAAAGATGAATCCACATGTGAAAAACTCATCTCCTTAGTAAATTTGAAACTCATAGGACACTGCACTTTCATGAGTGATTCTTCCCTTGCTGATGCTTTTATAGGTTATTTTAAAAAAATCACAAAATTTCCTGTACTTACTTCTTGGTCAATAGTATAGTCTCACCATTGTGTACTTGCAAATGAAGGCAAATATTTTATTACTTCATTTCTGTTTTGAATTTTTCTAATGCCTCATTCAACTATTTTGTTATTTCCTGTGCAATCGGTTCAGGATGTCCAAGTGGATGATTATCAGACTTTTCCAACTCATTCCTTCACAATTTGCCTTTGATAAAAGGCAGCCTGTGTTTCTGCTTGTACCTTGCTTGAATGTCTTCTCATTTCTATTTTTGTTGTTTTTACAGTCCTTGGCTTAATTCCTGATTTAATACTTAAATCTTCCTGTTACAGCTTGTCATTAGCTTTTGATCCTCTAATGACTCTGAGGCAAACTCATTTTCATTATACCAGGAAGGACATTTTATTAAATGAATCACAGCACCTTAGCCCAAGTAATATAATCAGCAACACAGTAGCATCCAGCATATCTTAGAAAAATGACAATTTGTGGTAGTTATTTATCTATCACATTTAACTGTGTGAATTAAATAAAAATCAAGGCTAGAACTCAGAACATTAGCCTTTATAGTCCCCTGTGCCCCTGTGGTATGATTCCATATACCGGCCTAGTCAGGAGGCCAGAGGCACATTCAGGGACAGTGGGGGACTACAGATGCCAACATGGCTGTGCCTCTCACCATTCCTCTGCTGTGGCCTGGAGGGGTGGAGCTGTGGTCCCAGGCCAGCTCCTCACACCTGGGCCACTCAACCTTCTTCTGCTGAGGCCCCTTTTATTACTTCATTTTGTCAAGAATGTGCTTTTGCTTATGGACAGGAAAGTGCTTAATGGAAGAGATTCATCAAGCATCAGATAGTATATTATGTGCCAATTACTCTATTTCTTCAGTTCTCTCCAAGGCAAAAGTCTAGATATGTATGTATTAAATAGTCTCAGAACAAGATTAATGCACTTTCTCCTTTACTTTCCACAGACAAAAATATATCTGGATTCTGTACCATGGGGATTACAGAGACCCTGCCACTCACCACGTGGTACTTCCTTTCCTCCACCAGCAGCAGAGCACTCTGTGTCAGGATAATCTATTTCTCTAAAAACCAATATTCTGGCTTTCCACTGGGCACTGACTTTCTCCAAGTGCACTCCAGCAATTTCCTAGGAATCTCAGCCTGGAAATGGAGCTACACACTTTGATTTGCTTCTATCTTCTGGAGCAGCGGGGAGGTTCTGAGTGTCTCTAATCCATCACCTTACTCATCCCTTATGAATATATTCCTAACTTCTCTTGCCTATGTGTGATTCACCATGTGGATTTTTTTGAACAGAAAAAAATTAAATCAACAATTTATTTGAATGGGTCATGATTTTTTTGATAATATTTTATAGAATCATAATATTGAATGATGTACAGGGCTCCCAGTTATCACTGTTTTCATTTTTTAATCACTGTATTTAAAATTAATGCAGGAGTTGAGGTTAATCAGTTTGAGTAGAAATATGATTGATTCTCACTAATTTGAAACAAGGCAAAACCAAAATCATATGTCAAATTTAGAATATTAAGTATTGAAATGCCCTTGTATTTCAACACTGAACATTTATTCCTCCTGAGTATTTTCATAGGAAAAGCAGTGGATTTATATATGTCTATATAAAGAGAAACAGAAAATATTGTTCAATCTTATAGAACTGGAAAAAAGCTGAACCAAGAGCATCTATTATTTGCAGCAATCAATTTATTGGAACAACTCTGCTAACTTCTCCCAAAAAGGGTGACAGAATAATATTTAAGGGGAAGAGGCTCTGCCAAAGAAGAGGATGCAATTGTTTTCATTTTGTTTGATGAAAAACAGGAAAGGGTGATCACAATGACATTTTGATATACTGGTAATGAAGTTGGAGCCACTGTAATGCCAGTAGCAGCTGCAGCTTCTGTCCCTTCTTCATTAACCTCCACAAAGGACTTGTGCTTGACCTTAGATACCATTAAACCCTTGTCTCCAGTCATGCCTGAAAGGTCGGCATCTTGTGGACCAAAGGCTTTTATCATTCCCATGTCTTGCAATATGGTGTTGAGATTGAAACTCTCTTCCACCTTGAACCTAGGTAAATGTAAATTCACCTCTGTTGTGTTGATATTTTGTAGGCTTGTCCACTCCATTAATTTCTCACCAGCAAGTCCATCTTCAAACTAAAAACAATGGAAAAAGTGAATCTATCATGATTAACTATAGAAATATACTGTACTATAAGAATGCATTAAAATGTGGGAAACTTTATTCTAGAAATAAATTTAATACACAGATGATTCAGTTTATGACACACTACTCTTGTGACCAGAAATAGAAGTCCAGAGTATATATTTATTTTATATTGTAGGTACATATTTATATATGCACATTCAAGGTACAAAGTCAACTATATATTATTACTCTTTAGGCTACCAACCAATTTTCTGTCATTTTAAATACTCTTAATTTTCTGATACTTATTAAGAATTGAATATTGTAGTTACAGTGTATGAACTATTATGCACCTTTTGCCATATTTGTAAACATTTCTTACATTAGTATTTCTCTCCACCAAGTATACATTTTACCTTTCAAAAGAACAAAATTAAAATTTAATGTATATAACACTATTCAATTATTGATTAACTGACTACCAGTATGTGTTAGACTCTGTACTAAAGTATCTGTAATGAAAAGATAAATCAGCATTCCTTCTGTTGAAACTTTTATTATTTTGGGGGACCTTGCTGTAAAACCTTTTGCCTTCTTAGTGACTGGGGGAAAAAAGCAAAGGACACTAGGAAGCACAAATGTAGGCCCAAGTTTTACCTGCTGCGGACCATCGACTTCAATTGGCAGCAGCACAACCATGCTCAGAGCCTTGTCTTTGTAAGGTATTTCCAGCATCTTGGCCTGCACATCTTCCAGGGAGGCAAAATTGAGATAGCTGCTTTTTTCCATCACCTGCACAGATTTGCTAGTATCCTGCAATAAAGGAAAGCATCAAGCAAACACCAAATTACACATAACACAAGTTTCTTTAAGTACACTTAAATAAAAACATTTTCAAAAAAAGTAATGAAACAATACTCATGACACATTTTATTTTTTTACTTACACTGGTATACTCATGAAATAGGTTTAAATTTAACTTACTATAGTGTTATTTAGCTCAGTGGTTCGGTGGCCTGCCTTGCAAGTGCAAGGACCTGAGTTCAATCCCCAGTACCACAAAAAAATAAATAAATAAAAGAAAGAAAGAAATAAACTGCATTCACCAGAACCAGTTTGGGATTACTGTCAAGAGTCCTAACAGGAAATAAGTCTTTGATCTTATCTGTAGAAGAAAAAATAAAATATCTGTCAAACAGGGTACAATTTGCTTGTCTGCAAGATACACTGTGACTGATCATTACTCATTCACGGAAATGACTACTTCAGGGACTTGTAGACCTGTTCACCAAGTGCAGCCCTCTTCATTGTGCCAGCCTCAGAGTTACCTCTGATAGAGGTGACAACACTTGAGCTGGGAAAGAACTTCAGGCTCTTTGTCAATGACTGATTAAAGTCATTTCACACTGAGTACTATCCACAGATTTCATCTACACTTTGCATTTATCTTTGTCATTCCTCCTTCTCCGCCTTCCTTTCTAGCATTCCACTTTGGGGGCACTACTCAGAGAAAATAGAGCTTGATCATTCTCTAGGACTAGTAGCATGAACTTTATCTTATGAAACCCATAGGTTTTCCTGACAGATATGACTCCTCGGGGTATCTTCTTCATCATTCTCCTGTGCAACTCCTTACCATAAGCTTGGCCTGTGTGACAGCCAATCAATAAGGTTGATGTATGGAGCACTGTTAAGCTATCTGTCAACGATAGAGAAGTTCTTTGTAATAATACTTGTAGAAGGCACAGGTGAAGGCATGGTCCATGTAGCTCCAGTTCACCTGGCATGAAGTGTGGTTTATGTGAAGGCTGTTTGGTTTCCACCTTAGTAAAGGGAGCCCTGTTTTATGATCTTGAAGTCCTATTATGGTTGGAATATAGTTCCATTATCGCAAGAGGCTTATAGAGTAGTAGGCTTAGATCTGGATGGGCTTTGGCAAATGCCTGGATATTGAATACTCTTTACTTCTCAGTGTTTCAATTCACTGATGAAATCAAAATTTAATTCTGATTGAACACAATTCTTAGGAGGTGGTGGATACAAATTGTGGGGCCTAGTTGAAAGGAGTGAAGCATATAAATGTGACCTATATTGTTTCTAACCCTTATTCTCTGGCTTTCTCACCCTCTCTGCATCCTAGTGCCATGAAGTGAGTGCTTTTCTTCTGCTACAACATTCTGCCATAATATTTCTGCCTTACTATGGACCTAAAAACAACAGAAGTGGCCAAGTCTAGACTGAAACTTCTCAAACTGTGAGCCAAAAGATATCATTCTCCCTTTTATTCCCCCCTTTATTCCTGTCAGATATTTTGTCACAGTGATGGAAATTGAATAATACTGATCTTTAACATAAACCTGGTTGTAATTAACATTAAACAATGGGATGTCAAAATGGGGCTGAGTGGCAGTTAGAATCTATAAGGAAATTGTCACCAGGGGCCATGTGCAAAACATTCTTTAGCTGCATATGCATGACTGGCTTTCTGTGATTCCTTTCCTGGCTCTTGTTTGTACTCTTCACATTTAAATGGGCCACCCAACCATCTAGAGTATTCCTCATTCTCCCTGAAAACCTGTAACAATATCTCACCTCAGCACCACACCTGTGTCAGCACCACACCTGTGTAAGACACAGGACTCACTCCCAGGTACTTAGGTGTTTCTCTAACAGGTGGTCGTTCCCTTATCTAGCATGTGTTTGTTTGTCCACCCAGGTGTTAATTTTCTTCTGACTTTCTTGTGCTGCATTTACAAAAGCAACAGATCCCACATCAGCAAGATAAAAGTTCTTAAGGTCATCCAAATATTCCTTTGAGATATAAAAGAAGAAAGGAATAATTAAGAGTGATTTGTGCATTATAAAATTTAATTACTTATGATTGCAGTCATCCAAGGTCAGACCCTGACCAAATCCATTATCTCTTGCATGTTTTTGTGTGGGTGCTATATAGGCAGTGTGAAAGGGAGCCCAGGCTATTGAAAGTCAAAGCTTTCTGCCAAAATACAGCAGGGGAAGAGGCCATGGTGTGCAAATGTTAAAGCTTGTTACTCTGAAAGAGATAAACTGCTTCTGAGAATTCTTATCAGCAAATTCAATTTGCTTTATAGTTTCTATCCTGGGAATTAAATATTCTTTGGTACTTTCCATTTTTTCCCTCTGAAATTCTGCCACAGCTGGCAATTCCAGAATAATCTCACTACCCATAATTTTCCACTTAAAACATGTTCTCTCTGAATGAGTCAGTGCTGGTTCATTATGACAACTTGAGACTGACTCTGGTGCCCCACATCCTTCCTTCTAATAAAATAATCCCTGAATGCTCACCTTCCCCTGCAGTGACAGACTAAGAACAGCCTAGTAAGGTACTGTTGGAACTGATACCTTGTGGGGAAATGCTGCCCATGTGAATCAGGCAAGATCCTGTGATTAGTAGAGGACCAAAATGAAAGTTGTGGAGGGCCTTGTGAAATTTACCAGAAGAAACTTGAAACTCTTCTTTGTAGATCTTGTTAGTGCTCTTCAGTTCATATGCATCAGTGGGTTTATTCCACTCAGTCAAAAGCTTTTGAATTTGGAGATGCAACCTGTTAGGAAACTGATTATGTTAAACTATTTTGTGATGCTGCCAGCACAGGCTGCATTCTCCTGGTACTTCTTGGCTCCTAAAATGAGCTCATGCACTTGTCTCTGGTTTCCCTTCCCCCAAGGCCACAGTAGTCCAGAGAACTTGAAACCTGTGTCTGCAGGGCTGGACCCATAAAAGGCAGCCTGACCTGTGATAGCTTAAAAGTAGCTCACTCCTCATTAAAATTAATAGCCTAGCCCAAAACTGATAAAAGGACCTTCCTTTCTTTGTTCTCTTCTCTTCCTCTCTCCTTCTTCCTCCTCTTTCTCTGCTCTTTCTCTCTGATCTCTCTCTCTCTCACTCTACCCCCACCCCTTGAAAAAAATCTCCAGTCAGACCTCTCGGTGTGTGTGTGTGGCGTAGTTGTTGAGCATCATTATTCCCTTTCACACACTTCCTGAATTTTCACCCTTCAACATTAAAAAGAGTGCTTGTTGCATTGGTATTTAACTCATTTCATATTAAACCCTGCTGAAATCTGTCCAATCAATACCTATTTATTAAAAATGACTAATTTCTTATTCCATGATATTTGTGATATAATATCTCGTGTAACCTTTACAAATCCACCTTAATTTCATCTTATTTTATGACATTCTTTCTACCTTCTATAAAATACTCTTTCTGTTTTCTGCCTCACTAAATATTTAGTATGTTGGATTCTCATTGATTTCAATAGTTAGATTTTATCTTCCTGGCTAAACTCTATGTTACCTAAGCAAATAGCATAATTCATTTCTAACAGCCTTCAAGGATACAGTTATGCTGAAGTTTAGATATATTATATATGATAACATATGAAGCTTCCCAGTATCCCTTGCTGGTGTCCTTTTTTGTCTTCTCAGACACTTTGACTTTCCTCTGTGGCCCTTTCTGTCCTTGCTTATAAGAGTGATGGATGCCTATTACCCAGCGAAGGTCTGAGAATAGGTAATCTAAGTCTTATCAAAGGGGAAAAAATGAGAATCAAGACTTGTCATGTAGAGGTACAAGATCCCAACAATGAATGTAACTGTACTGTATCCCTAAAATGTACCAATAAACTCAATTAAAGCTGAAAAAAAAACGAAATTAGAAAGCTGAGAGAGTTAAATATCCTTTCTGAAGAGACTAACTTAGAGGAGTCAACTTTTAAACCTAAGCCTATTTGACTTTGAATATTATTTGATAGCTATGAGTTTTGTTAACTTCCTGACTAAGTGTGAGTGAAATGCCAATATATCTGCTAGAAATCATTCTCCAAAATATACTTCAACTTCTACTTGTTTGTTTCAATTCTAGAGTTAATTAAAATTGAATTGTTTTAGTAACATTATTATGATGATGACAATAGTCATTTAATATTAACTGAAGTTTATTAAGAGTTCCTATTTACAACACCAAGCAGTGTTTGTAAATGTTTGCATAAGTTGATTCAGATTCTTTTTTACTTCATTTATTGTGATGCAGAGTGTTTATGTGTTGCTGATGTTCACCATTTGTGGAGCAGAACAAGATTTGAACCCAGCCTGTTTGGCTTCGGACTCACATCACTTCTCGGCCTTTTGGCTAAGATCAAGTGTGGCTTCAGACTCACTTTCATTAATACAATGCTGATCTGTTCTGATTGGAACAAAACCTGAGAATGTTAACTGTGTAAATGAAATGTGAATACACTGCATTTTTGTCATGTCCAGGGTTTTCAAAAAAAAATGCCTTTTTGCAGTTCACATGAAATTCCAAGATTTATACTATGGCCCTCTCAGATATCTGAAGCTGTCCTACAATGAACATGCTCAGGTACTCACCTGATTGGTTTGAGTTTTTTCCTATTGACTTCTCTTTGATTTCACTGAAGCGAAGGACCTGGAAGAGACAGGAAATGAGACAAGAAAATCTTACTGAATAGATCTGCCTAAATCAGAGGAAAGAAAACCACAGAAATGGATAGTTTTGGAGGGTGACTATAATCTAGGCATTCTGGGAGGTGTAGGTAGAAGGGTCACAAGTAGAGGTCCACCCTGCACTCTTTAGAGTGTAACAGATATTCTGACCCCCCCAAAAAAAATTAAAAAGGAAAGAAATGCAAGAAATGTAGCTCCATATAAATGGAATGGCTAAACCAACACTATAAAGGGCAGTGGGGTTCAGAACAAATCAGGTGAGTTTGTTCAGAAAAAAAAAACCCTAAAAATAAATGAAAATAATAAATAAAAAATTTAAAGAAACAGAAAACATCCCCAAATGTGAGGATATGAATGGATATGAGTGTGATCTTTAAAAAACCACAGCAAATCAGGTTTATTAGCAGACACTTCAAAGACTGCCCATCCATCCACTCATGGTTGAGGAGACCTCTGATAGTGTACCCCTTGGATTCACGTCCAGGCATCCCTATATAAGTAGTCATCAAGTGTTAAGCTCCTCTGTCATTGCTCAACAGTTGTAGGTCAACTCATTTTCCAAATAATACCAGTGAAGAACATGACCAACACTAGGGGAGTGCTTCCTCTGTCCCATAGCTCTGTGGTCACAGTCATAGGAATGCTTGCTCAATATCCTGTCCCACCCATCAGGCCCCCAGATCCACACACACATCTATGCACATGCTAGCCAACAGAAAAGCTGTAACAGCTCTAAATAGAATGGTTCTGATGCTCACCTTCACTGTTTCCTGTGCAGTTTTCCCTTTGGCCCCTAAATAGACCATTGCTAATGCTGCTGTGATGCTGACAGGGGAGAAGAAGACATTGTCTTCTGGTTTTCTTAACTCTTGAAACAGATCAAGAGTGAACTTGGTGTTTTCTTTGATGAAGGAGCACATAGTGACGTTTCTGTTCTAGAAAACAACAAATTCACATCGATATAACAATATTGGAGCATCACTCTGCAACAAAATATCCTTGAAGTAAATGAATTATCTAATTTCCTGGATTCTATGGATTATGTTTATTTTTATTTTATTGAGTTTATTGGTACATTTTAGGTATACAGTACAATTATATTCATTATTGGGATTTTGTACCTTTACATGCAAGTTCTTGGTTCTTATTTTCCCCCCTTGTCCATGCCCTGCCTTCATCCCCTCCTCCCCTCCTCATTTACAAACATTTTTTTCCAGTTATTCATTTTCTCAGATTTTTTTGTTTTCCCTTATTACATTTCCCCTACCCTTTCCACTTTCCCTACACCTTTAACCCTTTTCTTCCTATTTCACATGGTCAATTTTCTCATTAGAATCTTATGTACAATTATAGCTTTTGACACCAGAGAAGTTATTTGGTATTTACACGTGTGACTTATTTATTTCACTTAGGAGTATATCCCCAATATGTATCCATTTTCCTATGAATGAATCTAATTTCTCATTCTTTATGGCTGAGTAGTATTCCATCTTATAGAAAAACCACATCTTCTTTATCCAGTCTCCAATTGATGGGCAAATGGGCTGTTTCCAATATTTAGTTATTACAAACTGTGCTGCTATAAATATGGATGCACATGTATCACTGTGGTATGATTCTTTTAATTCTTTTGGAAAGATACCCAGCAGAGGGATGGCTGGGTCAAATGGAACCTCTAGTCCCAGCTTTTTGAGGTATCTCCGTATCGATTTCCATAGTGGTTGTACCAGTCTGTACTCCCACCAACAGTGGAAAAGGGTTCCTTTCTCCCCACAACCCTGGCAACGTCTGTTATTGTTTGATTTCTTGATAGCAGCCATTCTTTGTGGGGTGAGGTGGAATCTCAGTGTTGTTTTTATTAGTGTTACTTTTCAAGCCTGTCACAACAAAATATTCCTGAAAATAGCTTTTTAAATCCTTTTATATGAGAAATAACAGAACATCTTCAATTTTCATTCACCTGTCTGTACAGGTATAAAGGTACAAAGACTTTGTAACAAAGGCCAAGAGGAAGATCCCTGCGGATCATGTCCAGGCAGCTCTCAATGGACATCTCTGTCTTTTCTGTCAAGTTAGGCACTCTAAATGCTTGTGAGGATGTATTTGCTTAGAAACAAATTGTTTATGTAAAAGATAAAGGAGGTTTTTAAATTTTTATTTATCACAATGAGTACAATGTGATCAATTTTATGCTCAATAAAACATACAGAATTGTTATGATTCTCAAAACCAACTCGTATCATTAAGCTGCAGTCACTGGAAGGACTTACCTTTTCTCCTTGGGGAAGTGAATATGAGCAGGTAGCTTGTGAGCCTCTGTGTTTTAAATAGTGAGGTCCTGAATATATGCTTCTCCTCTTTGTGTCTTTCCCCTGGTATTTCAAGTAAAGCAACTTTGGATTTCTCAACCAAATTACTCTTCCTCATTCAGAGCATGCAAATTTATGAATAGGGAATGTTCATATACTGCCAATACACTTCCTTTTACTGTAGAAACAAAATTTAGATCGTCAATCACTGGTAATCTGTGATTCATTTGGAGGATACTTTGCACTTTTTTAGTACCCCTGAATGTGAGTATAGATTTATAATTCTACTGTCCTCTTCCCTTTGACTCCATCCCACCATACATTCTCACAACCTTGGAAAGTATCTTACTTTTTGAGGGGTTGATTGCATTTATGGCACACTTAGGTTACTAAACAACTACAAAGTATTATGTCTGGTGGTGCTGGGTCTTGGGGTCCCCAGATTAATGCTCAGTGGAGGGTGTCTGAGAAGAGTCTAAGAAATCCAGTTGAAGTGGCAAAAAAGCCATTTGGGAGGAGTGACAGGGCCAAGAGTTAGGACAGCCACAAATGTAGAATGCAGTCCTGCTTTATGGGCAAGAATCCTGGTTCCAAACCCTCTCAGGGCCATTACCTGATTGGTTATTGAACTTGTTGTAGGGGACTAGGTTTGATTGACTAATAGGAGAATTTTGAGGGGGAAAAAGTAATTTACTTAAAAGAGTGGCTTACGTGGGTCAGTGTAGCTACACAGAACAGGGTGTCAAAACTGCAGGCTGTCAGCTTAATATATCTAAACAGAAGAAAATGTCAAAACCACAGGCTGTCACCCTTGGCTGCTTGATAAGATGTTGAAGCTATTTTCCTTTTACTTCTCCTTTTTTTTTTTTTTTTTTTTTTTTTTTTGGTATGGGGGATGGAACTCTGGTCCTTGTGCTTGCAAGGAAGGCCACTGAACCTCTGAGCTAAATCCCCAGCATGAATTTTGCTTCTTAAAAGCTCCCAATTCAGTAAATTAATCCTACCTCTGGGTCTCATCTGTCCCTACAGAAAGCTTACATTTGCTCTGCTTCAATTCAGAAAGTGTTTATTCATTCCACTGATGTTTCCAGTAATCATTCCATATAACTGGATAAATAGCTAATTCTAATCCAAAGAGACACTGAGGATGCATCTCAGCAAATTCTGGAGAAAGTGCTTGCTTGATATCTTCAATGCTCTGCTCTTGCCGTGGTCATCCCTATAAATTCTCAACTCCCTGGAGCAGTCTCAGATGTTTTCTATAGGTTCAGGTGAGCAAGAAAGTTATTGAACTTGCTGCCTTGACATGTTGGAAATGAGAAGAGCTGTTGAATAAGCAGGAGACATTTTGAATCATGGCCTTTTGAAAAGCAAGAAAATTACTCATCTGAGATGTCAGGATCACAACATTTTAGTGCCACCTCATAATTTACTACACCAGCTTCTGACTCATGGACTGGATGCCAGGGTAAAATGCATGTAAGACATAATGGAAGGAGGTGGTGTATTGTTTTAATTGTAATTCTTAAATCTATTTTTTCTGTAGTGTTCTTCTCTGCATGTGCACAGTGTCACTCTAGGCAGGCTAATATTAATAACTACTGTTTGATGGACCTGGGATAGATAGATAGATAGATACACACACACACATATGTGTGTGTGTGTATACACTCATACACCTTACAAAACTCATTGAATTAGGTTTATTTGAGCTGGTGATATAGCTGAGTGGTAGAGTACTTGCTTTGCATGTGTTTGACCTGTGTTCCAATCCCAGTACCACACTAACAAAAACAATAGGAAGTAGGCACATTTACTGCCCTCATTTCACACTGATGCAAAGAATGGTTATGAACTACTTTACTTAGCAAGTCAATTATAAAGGTGAGATTCTAAGGCAGAGATTCTAAGTGAGAAACTAAATGTTTATGTGTTGTCTCATAATACATAAGCCGGGGTTCTGGTTTGATATGAAATATTCTCTCCCATTTAAATGATAAGACCATCTTCTCTGAGAATCTCAAAATACAAAACATTACCCCACAATATGTGAGTCACAGGTGAAATATTTCGCTATAGACTTGTCTTCAAGGTGGTCACACAGGAACCGGGGTAGAAACCTGGGTCTGTGGACAACCCAAAAACATTTAGGAGCAAGTCTTATGGGAAAATGTTTGGGGATGGATACAGGATACTTTCCTTTTAGTACAGAGGTTAGAGGGAAAATACAGTCTTGCTTAATCTCATCACTCACTTCTGTCACTACAATGAAGTATTCCACGTGAACTACTTGAGAAATGAAGGGAGGTTTATTGGCGCTCATGGTTCTGAAGGTTCAAGCTAAAATAAGGGTCCTCATTTATTTTCCCTTTTGATGGAGGTGTCCCCTCAGAATGGGGGAGGTGTTAGAAAAAACTGCTTACATTACAGGCCTGGAAGTAGACTTTGGGTCCCCTAATTTCCTCCGGTACACACCTCTAATTACTTAAGGACGTTCTGTAAGGTTGTACATGTCAAAGGTCCTGAGCATTCCTCAGTATGGCCACCAGTGGGACAAAGATTTCATAGAGAGACCTCTTGGGCCAGCTCACATACAAACTGTATCAATACCCCTTATTTTCTCAAAATGCTCTATCAAGGGGGTGCTTAAGAGAAATAAGAAACTTCAAGGGGGAAAGGGATGGGTTAAAAAATAGTGTTTTCCTTGGTACACTCTGTACCCTGAGAATGTCTATGGGAAAGAGATGAGGATACAACTCAGGATGTCCCTGACATTCAGATATGGGGGCTGCTTATTCTCCTGATTATTTCCACGTTCTATACCTATCCATCTTTCTGAAAGTGATATGATTTCATTCTTTCTCATGGATGAATAAT